GCAGATCAATTATTTGATCTGCGAGCCACTGACAAATCGGATATTTTGGGATTACCGTGTTCAACAATTGTTTTATCATTTGCTTATTCATGTTCGAGATTATGTAGCCGTCACAGAGTTCAACAAATCTGTACGGTGACAATGTCTGAAAATTTAACATGGCTATGTTTACCTTTTATTTGTGTCTATTTGAATTGCTTGTCAAAACTCTTAAATGCGCACGCGTAAATCGATATATTGCAATTGAGAATTGATTTCAAAAAATGAATAAAATGAATAAGTAAATGATAATAATAAAATTATTAACACAAATGTTATTATTAACATAATATAAACATAAATGTTATTATTAACATAATAACATTTTCAGAAAATGAATAAGTAAACGATAATTAACAATTATTGGATGAGGTTCTTGTGATATACGGAATTATGAAGGTCGAGGTAAGCGTTATCAGCCGAGCCGAAGGCGAGGCTAATTGTGTTAAATAGATACCGCTTGCTAATCATCGCAGGTTCATTTGCAGATAACTCAGTTATCTGCTAGCAGATAACCGAATTTTCTGTAGGTTGCGTGATTGCGCGATTTAACTGTAAGCTCTTAGCCAATCAAATTGCTTTTACCAACTAAAATTTATAATAAAAATAATTATTCGCTCTTCCACTTGTGGGCCATTAGATGGTGAACTGCGCTTGCTCAGCACATTCAAGATTTATCAAGTGAGGTGCTTCACCAGATTATTGTAACATTTAGTAATATTATATAGTAGCGTAAAAGTCACATTTAAATTTTTAGTAACATTTCTTTGAAGAAAACCTTCACATCATGATATAAACCAACGCGCGGATGGACATAAAACACATATCTCACAAAATTTATCTGCATACACCCAATGAGAACAATACAATTTCAAGAACATTGCTTTTTCGTACAGGGAAGGATCAATAGTTGCCACATACGTAGCTACATTTGATCCAGCGGCAACCAACGAAACTACTTCAACTATCCAAGCGGCCATACAAGAAGCGCTTTTGGTTAACAGTACTGGAACCTTTCTTGGGCAATATCAACTACAAGGAACCAGGGAGTCCGCCCTAACATATTAAGGTAAGTCCTTCCGATCTCATCTTGTGGGAAAGAACGCCCGTCCTAAAAGTGTATAAACTACCAAAAAGTTTGTTGAAAAACAAGGCCCTAGCAAAGTTTCCTGTATTTTAAATCGTTTTATGCCCCAATAATAAACCGCTTTCGAGTTTTTTATTTATTTATTAACTTTACAATCATACAAAAAATATAACAATGATTGAAGGTATGGTCGACAGGACATGAGTCCCATATACAATACAATAAGTAGACATACATTAAAGACCAGGACTAGAACACTATTTACATAGCTATATAAAAATTAATAGTTTAGATTATGAGCAACAGCTTAAGTTGAAAGAACGGCATTTAGAGCAGTAGGTTTTCCAAGTGCGCATTCTGTTAACATCGAAAGAAGAGTCTAATTGAGAAGAGTAGTGAGAATGGAGCTGGAACTTAAAGGATGAAACAGACGAACTGTTACGAATGATTGGAGAGAGATTGTTCCATAGAAAGACAATTCGGTTAAAAAAAGAGTTTCTAAAAAGAGAGGTTTTCCACGGATTGACTTGAAGCAAGTTGTCCTTGCTTGAACGGGTGCGAGACAACTTGCTTCAAGTCAATCCGTGCAAAACCTCTCTTTTTAGAAACTCTTTTTTTAACCGAATTGTCTTTCTATGGAACAATCTCTCTCCAATCATTCGTAACAGTTCGTCTGTTTCATCCTTTAAGTTCCAGCTCCATTAACATTTCTTCTCAAACGGAATTGTAATTCAAAGCGAAAAATGAGTTTATTTATGCATGGGCGTTTATTACCATGGTTTCAAGACAACGATATCGTGCAGGTTTCCTTTCTGTTTTGCTTATGAATTTCTGATTAGTCTGAGATGCATATTATGAAACAGCACGCTGAGGTAAGTAGTATCAATAAAGCAATTTGAAACATAAATTTTACCTCATTTTTTTATATTCGGTTATTGCAAGACTATACAACATGCTTGTGATGTTACTTTGAGTGTATATCCACACCAGGAAAGCTTGAAAACTACGCCTATCCACGGTGGCATATCTTTCCCGCTTGCTAATCATACCGCTTGCTCATCGTCGCAGACTCATTTGCAGATACCTCAGTTATCCGCATCGCAAGCTCATTTGCAGATAACTCAGTTATCAGTACATTACACCAACACAGAAAAATCACCATACAACAAGGTGTTTACTTGCAGTCAAATTTCTCTAGATTCTATTAATTTAATGCATTCACACAAACTTTAATTATACATCATTATCATTTATCAATGTACCAATACCTTATGCTTACAGGTACAACTTGGGCTTCTGCATGGAAAATATTCGTCGCAGTTTGCAACAATTATAATGAAATATTATAGTACTAAATAAATGCAAAATTATTTCAGATTAAATGCTTACGAAGTTGCATTCCAAATTATGAACAGTTTATTACTAAGGTTAATATGACTTCATATATATTTTATTGAGCAAAACTTTTGCATGGTGGGAAGATAAGTTTGCTTCCGCAGCAAGGGTGGACTAACGACGAACTTTCCAGGAAAGATGGTAATTTATTGTGTTGTACAAACAGAAAAATGCAATGTTATAATTGTCCCAAAATAGATTATGATGAATATAATCCTGCATCGAACATTCATATTCAAGACTGTGGTACAATGACAAGATGTACTAATGAAGTAGGAACATATTCGTGTCAATGTGCTGCTGGTTATGAAGGAACGTTAACTCCACATAGTTGCACGGGTATGTATATGAGATGCAAGACGATAAGATATCAGATATCACATGTGTGATGAGACTGATCGTTATTGTTTAAAGTGTTTATGTAACAAAGATTTTTATTTGATTTTTGAATAGCGGACAAAAAGTTAGTTAATAGGTTCTTTAACATTTTTCGGTTTTCTCTTTTCATTCACGAGATATGAGGCTCTAAACAGCGATTTTCGTAAAATTGTCGCATATCAACAAGAGTCTGGGACGAGCCAGGTGTGACGTAGCTTACCAAGGAACTTAATCACGACGGGCATTATACATTTCTTTATATTTTGTATGTTTTCCAGCACTCGTGGTTCTCAATGTGACTCAGAATACAATTATATTCCTGGGTATATTATAGATTATGAATCAAATGATACCAGTCACGAAATTGGAACTCTAGAAGCAGTTGATAGCGAAAGTTTAGGCGATTATGATGCATGCCTTTATGCCGGTGAATCGCTAGCGAGCCAAGAATGCTACGCGCGATATCTAAAACTACGCGGAACACAAGGAACAAAACGAGATGCTACAACGAAGATTAGACGGCCTTGAAGATATTAAATCATGGTGAGCGTAAACATAGATTTATGTAACATTTTAACGTAAAATAACTATCTCTGGCTGATATATTTTTGATACGGCATATATATATATATATATATATATATATATATATATATATATATATATATATATATATATATATATATATATCTTTTTGGGTGTGTTTATGAGAGGGAGTCTAAATTAATATGACCTAAGAAGACTTGTAAGAGGCCAGGTATAAAAAAGTGGATGGAGAACCATTCTTTATAAAATTATCTTATTAGAAGGGAAATTATAGCATGGGCTTGGGTTTTATTAGAGAGAAGCCGGAAGCTCTGCAGCTATTTGCGAGTTGTAGAACCAATATTCATTTGAAATTCGAAAATTTAACAAAATGTATTAATCATTTCGGTGTATCTGTTCCGGTACGCTCAATTTTAAAATAAGTTCTTACTTTGTTCGCGTAAATATATATTAAATTGCAATTATATGTAAAATAATTTGGACAAATTATTAAAAAAAAAAATTTATATGAACTGTCATGAGAGCATTCATACTCCCGAGCAAAACTCGCAACTATATTGTACATGTAAAAAATAATTACGCTGCCAGAGTTGACAAATAAAAAGTTACATACCTAGTCTTCAAAATATTCATAAAACAGACGAAAATAGTCCACTTATATTCTAAAAGGAGCAGTTTTATTAATCATAGTACGGTTTTCGCCATATTGTGTATAGTAAAATTCTCTCACTATGCTACCTAAGGACATGGACGCAGTGCTCGCATTTAAATGTATGAACGGATTGGCACCCAACTACCTGAGCTCTCTATTTACTACAAGAGAAGCTGTCAGCAGAAGGACAACTAGACAATCTGACAAGCTGAATTTACCACTTTTTACGAGTGTAAAGGGACAGAAATCCTTTAAGTATCGTATAGCAAAACTATGGAATGAGTTACCTCCTGACATTAAACTATGCGGATCAATTAGTGTTTTTAAATTTAACTTGAAGAAAGAGTTATTGAGACAGTTTCGTGTGGACGAATAACTATATGTATTTTAGAGTACTAATTAGATTGAAGAAAGAATTATTAAGACCAATAATTTCATGTATGTTAAAGTATTAAATAAACAATTTAAATATAGTTTTAGTGTAGCAGTTCTAACTTTACTATCTCAGATTCTATTACACTTTTGTAACTATTGTAGTATATTGATTCTGAAAAGCCCTTTTTAGGGATGATCAATTATATATTCATTCATTCATCATTAACATGGCCGCCGCCCTCTTGCGGGTGTATGCAGGTATATGTCGGCGCGACCGCCTAACATCAAAGGAGTGTCCCTTCTGGTTCGTTTCCTTATTCTGTGATTATATAGAGATTTTGAGAAGTTGAAGTGTTTTTGTAGATGGGAATTGCAGCTTGTTGCATATTTGCAACTGCTCTTGATTAGGTCTGAAAATTGCATATAAACTTCCGCTCGACATTTCCATCCATTCCACAAGAAACACTTCAACTCTGATCATTACAACTTACTACTGTCAAAGAAACATATCTCTTATTTAGATGTTGACGAATGTTCTACGGAAACTCATAATTGCCATGGTAATGCGACCTGCACTGATACACGTGGTTCCCATACCTGTACATGTTTGGCAGGTTTCACTGGAAATGGGATATATTGTGAAGGTAGGGAAGAAACAGATTCAAATTACACTTAACTGCATCTGTTCTTTTCAATATCACATTATGTTTGCACTGCTTTAACTATTACATAATCTCGGAAATAGATTTAGAGCAGGCTTTGATTTTAGTTTATATTGTACATTCCTAGAGATCAACGAGTGCCTTCAACCTGGCGCATGCCCAGAAAATGCAATTTGTAACGATCTAATAGGACGATGTGAATACACATGTCAGCCAGGGATTTGAAGGACTGGCATGTTCTGGTTAGCAATAGGTTTCATATTGTGGAAGGAAAGTTTATATTTGGTCGTTTATACACGAACGTTTTGAGCCAGTGTAGGTAGAGACGATAATAACTGCACATTACGAAGAATACAGCCATCTGAAAAATACAAGCAGAACCCGTGCCTTCTTTTTTCCGGTAGTTTACCAATCTACAGTGATTTTATTTTGGAACTATGATCTGGAAACTCGGCAAATTTGAAATTGTCTATAAAGAGCTACAAATGTATGTGAAAGGATTTTGTCGTGCATGCAGAAATCTAGTAACATTTTGTGAATTACGACTTCACACGATAATGCTCGATAATGGTATTGCATGATTGCTTAATTATGCCAAAAGTTCATTGCAATTATTTTGCACAAATCTGCATGAACATGAACAAGTTAGCTTGCTCTGTTATTTAACTCCTCGTATAATGATGTACGAAAGCTTATGAAAACTAAATTAAAAATTATAGAGCACAGAGACTTTGACCAAGTTTCCAGTTATGACTTGGCTATGTCCGCATGATCCTGCAAATTGTCCAGTTCAGGGGAATCTTTCCGCCGTCCACAATTTTATAATTACTCAAATAAGATCAGTATCGCATAAGATCTCAGCACTTTCCCATTGTGGAGTAAAACCGTCCGTAGCTTAGAAGAAATGAAACAAATTGGGAATAAAGCAACAAATTACATGCTGTTGAGAGGTTTCTGTATAATTTCTTTTCTTTAGGCATTTATAGTTAATTGTAGATATGTAATTCTTCAAATCAAAACCTATTTATCAAAAATATGGATTTGATTCGAATATTTCAGTCCTTAAAAAACACATTATTGAGCCATTTTAATTTCAGTTATTCAACGGTTTACGTCAAAAATTGCTGCGGCCAATTGCGAATTTACTATAATTTTTAACTTAACAAATGCTTTGTGGTAATTAAAGTGTAACAGCTAGTATATCGTGTGTTCAGCCTGTTCGGTGAGTTAAAGGTAAAATTTCGAAAACTAAGAATGGAAAATGGTAATATTTTCCAGATACTAATGAATGCCAGACAACATCCTCAGCTTGTGACGCAAATTTGGAATGTCGAAATCTCTACGGAAATTTCTCTTGTGTCTGTCCATTTGGTCAGTGGTTTGTCCGTAATAGTTGTGAAGGTATATGTATTAAAAAATATTCATGAGAAAAATCAACACTGCGTTCTCAACATCATATTTCCCCGATGTAAAAATAAACTTTTCTAGGTTTTGCTCTCGTTGCAAAGAGGGGGCAATAATGATAGCTACCTATGCATGACTAGTTATCAATTTTTTTAAAATACCAATCTATTAAATACCATTTGTTTGAACACAACGGTGTTGTTTTTAGACCCGTTTAAGGTCCAAACAGATCGGACGCGATTCGGCAACGCGACGCGAATTTTCAGTTTTCAAAAACAAATAAAACCGTCAACGGATAAAAATTTTACAAGATATGCAGACCAAATCAGCTAAAATTGGTTAAGTCGTTCCGAATATTTGAAAAACATTTATCACTTATTTACTGAGACCGAGGGAAACAGTGGGTTTTGTGGACCCGAGACCGTCGATGTTTCCCGAGGCGAAGCCGAGGGAAACATCGACGTTCGAGGGTCCACAAAACACACTGCTTTCCCGAGGTCTCAGTAAATAAGTGTTTTAATATATATATATATCAATAGTCAAAGTCATTAAAGAACAAATGAACGTCAATACATGAAATATTTTAACATTAAAACGTTAAATTAAACACTAGCTACACTGCAGTTACTTAAAGCGAAAGTTTTACTTACGTACTAGGAATGTCCAAAGGTCGCATCTTCAGGTGATGGCGCACGTGATTTTTTTTGTTATTCGCCGGTCGATAACCTATTGTTTCCCTCTCGTGCTGTTGCGAGGAAGACAGTCTAATTTCGTCACTCTCACGTGATATGCTCTCAACCAATAAAACACTAGAAAAATGCGACTTTGACTATTGATATATAATAATGAAAAATATTAAAGTTAATTGTCATTGAAAACTGAAAATTCGCGTCGCGTTGCCAAATCGCGTCCGGTCTGTACGGGTATTTACACTTGCAATTTTTGCTGCGATTTCTAGTGCGATTTTTTTCTTCTGATGAATGAGAACGAGTAAATAAGTTATGAATGTTCTGAGTATATATACCCTCAAGTAAACATTCCTAACTCATCTATTCGTTGACATACATCCGGAGAAGAAAATTGCATTCAATAATTTCAAGTGTAAACGAGCCTTTACTCGTCGTAAGCTTGATTGTTGGCTTCTGTAACACCCCTACTTTGCAACTGGTATCACAATGAACATTTTTGTTGCGAGTTGCAAAAAATAATTTGAACCTGATTCTACTTGAAGTTTCACGTAATATTGCCTCGTGTAACATGAACCTAACTTTGCGATTTCCTATTTTTTCCTCAGATGCGTATGTTTACGAACTGAACTTTATTGTACTGGAAGGCCTGGATTATAAGGACGATGTAACTGACACAAGTTCCAAATATTACCTCAATTCATTTGTGGATATCGAGAACGCGGTAAGTTATTTCATTTTGACGCTTAGTGGATATCTTCAAAGATTCATCAGGCCGATTTCAAGGTTTTCCGAATGGTGTCACATGACGTTAGCAGCGTGTTTTTCAAATATCATTTAATTGAATCGGCTCGATTAATCATGTGTAAACGTACCTTTACACTGATCATAGTTAATAGAGACAACTATGCACCGATTTATTTGAGAAAGTCAGGCTACTGACTTCAGTTCAGTGTTTAATTTTTATATAAAAAATTCTTAAAGAGGCGGTCAAGTCCGTTCCGCTCATGCGCGTGTTTTGTTTTGTTTTGTTTTGTTTTGTTTTGTTTTGTTTTGTTTTGTTTTGTTTTGTTTTGTTTTGTTTTGTTTTGTTTTGTTTTGTTTTGTTTTGTTTTGTTTTGTTTTGTTTTGTTTTGTTTTGTTTTGTTTTGCTTTGTTTACATTTTTGTTTCAAATAATAGATAATTTAATTCAAATTCCGATCTGTGGGCCCACAAATTAGCTCATTAATTACGCATTCAGAATATATCACGGAAAAATTGAACTACTAAAGCAAAAATGTAGCTCAAAACAAGAACTTTTAAATGGAAAATGCTAAGAAGCACTTCTTACAGAGATCTGGAGAAAATTTGATTGCAATTTGTACAAATTTGGTCCA